AAGAATCCCTAATCACATTAATAAGGTGCTAGATACAGAGAAAATATTTTTAAAAACAACAACAACGTCCATCCCCCAAAGATACTCATGCAAATGTCAGAAGTTTCAAGCAAGCAGTCACAATGATGGATGACACTGCTCAAGTAACTGGAAGTGCTTTCAGCACTACCTAAATAAACATTTTCCAGCACTGATATATGTTGGATTGGTAAAAGTTAAGCAGCTATGTAGGACAGATCTGACAAGGATCTAGAGTGCAGAGCAGCCTGAATACGCAATCCTCATTATGTGTGATTCTAAGATTTCAGTATGTGATATATTTTGTCTCCTGTTTCAATACTATAGCTCAAAATGTCTCCTCTGCTTCCCCCCAGTCCTACAAAAAATAAAATTTCAAATAAATAAATATTTAGCAGTCTTATTGTTATTACCACAAATATGAGTGTTTATTAGGAAATTACCCAAGTTTGTTGAAAATAACTTTTGGTATGTCACTGCAACTGCTCTTGTCGGGCAAGGTACACTCCAAGTTTAAATCAGATTTGGAGAAAGCTGCCATGGAGTAGAGAACAAGTCAGGTAATTCAGTGTCACTTTATACATTTATTTTATATTAATTTTGTCACTTCTATTAATTTTTGTCACTTTATTTTATTTATTTTATATTTATTTTATAGTAATATTTGACAGTATTCAGACCATTACATTATTTTGACAGGTGTTTTGGAAAAAATCCCACTTCATTTAAAATTAATTTAAATAGTTACCTTTTCTCTTTTAGTTTTGAAAATATATGGTATCTGAATTATTTTAATGTGCTATAGAACTTCATTACCTTTTTTCTGATTACTACCATCTCCTTTACTATTGGACTGCCAGGATCCCATTTAGCATATTGGCACCATTGTAACTTTAGTGGATTTTATTACAGAATAAGTTCCAAGTTTGTGTTACTGCTGTGAAAAATACTTAAAACAAACAAAGAAATATGAGGAATGTATAGATTTAGAAATCTCAATAAGCTTACAAGTCAGATGATTTTATTAGTTCTTACTCACTAGATCTGATTCATATTTTTCACTTAAATGAAATAAACTGCCCAACATTCTTGGCTTCATTATCCCATTTATTCACATCCTGCAATGTGGCATGCCTTTTTGATGGGATAAACCTTCTGAGATTTACTAGATTTTTCATATTGATGTCCATGTCTCTTACTCATGTAATTATACCAAGTGTATAACCCAGCAGCCAGTCCCAGTGGCTCAGGTGTCAAGAGATCACCTTCAGTGCCCCTTACCTGGCATTTGAGAACAGCAACATGCCATTTGTCATTCCCTTTTCTTCCCCTTTCCCAAGGCCCTTCTTAAATACTTCAAATCTGTTTCTAGTCTTGACTAATTAAAAACACTTTGTGTTCTCTGCAAATGTCATCACCTCAGGGTCCCGGTGCTTGGAGAAGAATCAGCTTATATGTCTATGTGTATCTAAGCATCTACTCCTGGCCACTGTTGAAACACCAGGCTAAAAATACTTCTGTCCAACAAATGCAGTCATTCTCACAGTCACCCATTGCCACCACTATCCTCGGTCATCAGTTGTTTCACCACATAATGTAGGTGAGACCCTGAGAGTGTGTGCATGCAAAAGGCTGCTTGGTAATGAAGACGGGGAAGCTGTGATTCAGCAGAAGCTGCTTGTGTGAGCAAATACATAGAAAACAAAACACAGGCCCATCTCACCAAAACTCATAATGAGCTTAGGCCATGCTCAGGAAATAATATTTACTGAATTCAAGCTCCAAAGCAAAACTGAGACTATGCAAATGAGTATTTGAAAATGGGCAGAATACACCCACCATGAAACAAATGTCAGTCTCACACAGTTCAAGTGTAGGCAATATTTTGGTTATGATATTACCAAGCTGTAATATGACTGTTGGAGAAATATATTTACAGAGTTGTTCAGGTTGTATCTGGAAAAAAATTAAGGAGCCAGAAATATTTTCATTATTTGATTTTGAGTGGAGAAACTACATCTGAACTATATGCTATCTGTGCAGTCTTGTCTCTGCATTTCTGTCTGTGCTCTCTGCAGATGATCAGAAAATCAAGGGGATTGCTATATTCTACTATATTTTTTAAATTAAACTGTTCCTCACTCATAAGTAACTAATGTTAGTTATGTATGAAAACTTTACCCTTCATTGATCCATCATATTAATGACTATGAAAAACATTAACATTCCACAAAGAGCTCTCATCCAGTTATTACTCGATTTATTTGTAAAACCTTACAATTCTTTGCTTATGAATGTAATTGTTCTGTTGAGATTCCAGACCTGAATTATCTGCAGTTTTTACAATAAGGTGAAGGAAATACAATATTCCACACACTTGCCTTCCAGGAAGAGCTGAAAACACTTCATGCTAACAATAATCTTGGCTCACATTAATCATGATAGAAATCAGAAAGAGCACTGTGGTAATGGAAAATGAAGGAACACACTGGATAATTCCCTGCTTAGAGGGTTATTTCTCTAAACTAAGAGTGAGCTTTTGGATGATTTATTAAAAACATGTCTGAGTCCTGAAAAATGGACAATCAGATTGTTTTGGTGCTAGGCATAAAATAGTAATTAATACTTCTGCTAAAGCTGATGCATTTATTTTTAAAACACTATTTGTGTTGTTCATTGTTTTATTGCTGTTGTGATAAATGACATAAAGTTATATGAATGGCAGCCTTACCTTGCAAACCAAATCTATTATCTGCAACAGTCACATTTTAATAAATCATGTCCTTTATTTTTTTTAAAGCTGCACTACATATTTATAACTGTCATTATTCACCTAAATTAGCAATTCTTTCTGACCTCCTGTGAAATGTATGTTTGTTTGTGTTTTCCCAGATTTTTTTGTCAGATAAGGTGCTTCTACGTACAATGTCATATTTATGTAGAAGCTCTCCATAGCAACAAATGAGCTCTTGAGGGTAAGAAAACAGTGAAGCTCAACTTTGATTTACAAAAACCAATAAGTCATTTCCCCTTTTTTGATAGTAACTTTGATAAGATTTATAGTTCAGCTGTGCTGTCATTTGTTTCTCCTACAATTGTCATAGAAAATTTAACCTTATCCTTCAAAGAAGTACTGCTGTCTGGAACTGTGTGTACCCCAGGTACACCAGCCTCCGTGTTGGATTTCTTCTTCTTACCCTCTGCCTGGGAAAAATTTTGAAAATCCAGTGATCTGCTGCTGAGGAGTGGCACCTATCAACTGCGCTGTAGTTGGGAGGTCTTTTTGTGGCAGCAGTAGAGCTATTTCTCCTCTTCTAATGGTCACCAGTTAATTTTCCTACCATGCTGCTCCGTTTGGATGGTGGAAGTTGTTTGGTCAGGTACTCCTCACCTTGTTCCTCTGAATTCAGAACCTGTCAGAACATAATTCCCATCAGGGTGGAGGAGGAAAGACACAGGAACTTCCCAAGAGGAAGATCCCTTTCTGATAGCCACTAGGACAACCACAAATGATGTGCTATTTCTCCTTTAAAACTTGTCATTTTTAAAGATCTTTGCTGCTGCATTTCAGGATCAATTTTAGTACTTTCTTCATAAGGAAACATAGAGTAGGCATAAAAACTTTTTAGAATAGTTACTGAAGTTCCTAAATTTCACTGCTGTCCATTTTTTTCTGCTGACTGGTGCTCCTTTAGGTATGATCATCTTTGTTTTAGTTCCTTCAGGTGTGTCTTTGTGAAACATCCATATGCCACACTTTCATGCTATTTTCATGATCCTGTTTTTCACCTTCCTCTTTCAGCCTGAAAGTGACCTATTCACTTTCTCTATTTCTTCATCATCATCCCAAGAATTTCCTGGAAGCAAACCAAATTGTCCTAAAAGACCAACCCAACCAGTGCAAGTGGAAATTATAAGCCTCCAACCTCCTTCTCAGTGGTTTGCTAACCAGTGATCCGTTTTGGATTTCATTTTGAGACTGAGCCATCATTTTGCTTCAAATTAAGAAAATAATTGTCATACTCCAGAAACACTGTGAGCAAAAGAACTTGCTTGTACTGAGTGGTTGTCTCTAACTTTCATCCATACTCTCCCTGACAGGTGTGCATTCCTGGTGTCTATTAGTGGTTGGGTAACTCACTGGGAGTTCAAATGCTCTGTCTCTGGCAATAGTAGGAACTCAGTATGTTTGATAATTCTACCTTTCTGCCCATTAAGTTGAAATTAGTCAACACATTCTAAAGTTATATGCCCAGCTCATAGACACAAAAGAGTACAGGCAGCATAGCAGGATAAGTCTGATTTCCTTAGAAAAACAGGGTATAGTTATCCATTCCTCTTTATCTTGTATAAGTTAAATTTCTTTCTCTTATTCCCCCTTGCTATAATATAGAGCAAATAACTTATTGCTACAGGTCTTTGAACAGTTGTACATGTACCAGAAAACTACAGTGAAATTCTCAATACTTTTAGTGACAGACTTGTTAAGATGTTATAGAAAAAAGGCTAGATTAAAGCTAGACAGGCTGTTCTTTTGGGGTTTTTTAAGATGCTTATAGGATAAACAGTGTTTTCAAATTATTATCCATACCCTTTCTCTCTAAATCCTAACCTCTGTCAGCTGTATATAGCTATGACCCTTCATGTGACCTCTCAGAGTTTAAAACTTATTGTTTTCTTTATGCAATTTTTTTATCCTAGCACATTATTGTTTTTAAACATTATTCATCATGCCTCTGTTTTCAAGCATATAATGCAAAATCCTCCAGAATATTTTTTCTATATCACATTTCATGAATAACAGTATTTCCCCCTTTTGAAACACCAACACCTCTAAACAATGAAAATCATTTTCCAGTATATGAAAATATTGTGGTATTTTGTATTTCATTAAAATTATAGACAGAAAGTAGTATTTTTTATTATTTTTTGCATGATTTTACATAGTGGGTTAAACTCATTTTTTTATCATTTTCCCTCAGGTCAGGTTCCAGTTACCTTTCAAATGGTACAGGGCATCTTGATTTCCCAGCACACAGAGGAGCAGGGTAAGTGGGTGGCTGTGTAACCCTGCTGTTCTCTTATTAAGACTACGGTGTAGAGAATAGGAAACACAGTGGGATTTTTTCAGTGTGAAAAACCTGCTGGTGAAAGTGTTCTGCCAGACTACAGCAGCAGTACACACAGGGCTGAGTCTGTTAGAGGGTGAACTTGGCTTTGTTGTCTCCTCCAGACTTGAAAAATATCACTGGAATGAATGGAGTCTCCCAGGATCCTGGCAGCAAAACCAACGAGTGGGTGCCGGCCTCTGGGTCAGTTTTATCAGGATTTTCAAGCCTTCCTGTATTTTCCACAAAGTCCCCTAAATATGGACATTGTTCTTGCCAGTCTTGTTGGCTTTGGCAATGTTTGGCTGTTATGCCTGTTGAAGCATTTCAGAGAGGAACACTAAAACAAGCAAAATGTATGTCATTTCCTGGTATTAAACCAGAGCTTTTTTGTATCTTTTAGCTTTAACACTGTAATAATTTTTGATCAATTCTCTTTTTTTTCCTTTTCAAGAGTAACATTCAGCTACTTCATTGTCAAAAAGTTTATGATAAGATAGGAAAAGGCAGTGCTAATGAATTGCTTACAACAAATATAATACTACTGAAACCATCAGCAACAAAAATACTGTGTGATTTGAGGCACTTCTGGAAAATAACTATTAGATTCTCTTTACTACAGACCAAGTAAAAACATGTCAGACTTCTCATTTCAAATATCTGATGTAGTTACGTGCATTTTCTTCATCCTGAAGGTTCATCCTTGTGTGAATATTGTACTTACTGTCCTTCAGAGTGGCTAGCACAGAGTTTCTAGTTTTGCAGCTTTACATAAAAGCACAGTTAGGATTTAACATATGCCATATTTACCAAAATCGAATAGTATTTTCCCATAAATACATGAAATCAAACACTTCCTGAGCTGGATGTCTAGTACGTGTGTGCCATCCTGCTATTTATAGTACTGTGCTCCTGATAATGACTACATAAGCATATGTTTTGTTTCAGATAAGAATCAAGTTGATAAATATTTATCTGACTTTCCTTCATGCTTAGGCTGAAAGTCACTCCAGTAAAGAAAAGCAAAGCAAAGTTAAATTTTCTGCATATGGTGCCACCCTTTGCCTAATCAGCCCCTCCCCTATTCAGGGCAAGGACTGGAGATGAAATTATGACAATGCTTTGGAGCTCTGGTCTCTGACTGATGTTACTATAGCAAAAATAGGGACCTAGATATCAAATCTGCCAAATATAGACATGTAGCTGGTGACCTCACCTGCTGGCCACAACAGCAGCAATGTCTGGCCATAGACTACAAAGATGGTAAGAATAAAATGAAGAAAGCACATGAGAAATCAAGTGGAAAATCCCAGAGATCACAGAGCGGGGGAATGGTGGGAAAACCAATAAATGTTTCAAGCACACCAGGAGCAAGAGGTCAGTAAGAGATATAGAAATGTTCTTTGAGAAGGAACAAGTAATTTGTTGACACAAAAAATATTTTCTAGGCAGCACACTATCTCCAAAAATTGGTCCTTTTATCTATGATGTAGGATTGGGAGAAGTCAGAAACAGTCAACGATATTCTTGCAAGGATGAAAAGGGAGGAAAGTAAAAATTCAATCTCTGCAAAAGAAGGGATTAAATATACATCTATTCCAAGAAAATCTAGTGTACAATAAAATATTAAGTATGATAGGAAATTAGTCACATCAGTTGGATGTGAAAGGATTTTTTTAGTATGTTAAACCACGCATTTGGTGTCTGAAGACCAAGAGCATGAAAAGAAGTACCACCTTTTAATTTCATTCATACAGTGTATTCAGTATTCTATGACTGTGAGCAAACTCTTCCTTGCTGGCATGCTATGATTCAGGCCAAGGAAGAGCCTATAGCCTCCATTCTACATAGTCAACAGCCTACTTTTCATGAAATCTGATGTTACTGTTCAAATGAAGGATGTTGAGTAATTGACAGATGCTGAATGCTTTTCTTCCACATTTTATGTCATCTTTAATGCCATTGGATCTGTGTGTATCTGCATGTTGTGTTCTTATGTGGGTGCACGTGTCTTGTCATTACCATAAGGAACTGGAAAAGCAGGAGATGCTCAGCAGTAACCTGATAGTCTAAAGCATCAGTGAGTATGTAGGATCCCTCTTCTGCTTGATTTAGACCATGGATTTGGATACAGGCTTCCTATCTCCCACATGAGTGTCCTGGGCTATTAGTTCTGCTAGTGTAGTCCCTTTTTGCTCCCCACTGATGGAGATTGTATTCAAAATTTATTATTATATCTAAATAAAAGATAAAAATATCTGCAAACTTCCCACTGTCATCGTGCACCAATAATGTGCCATAGGGTCCAGGGTCATTTCAGTGTGTTTTAGTATGTGTGCACAGTGGCTTGTGTTCAGTATACTCAGAGCCATAAACAAATATACAATGGATCACTGTTTCTAGCAGAGATGTGAAAGACTGGAGCATCCCAGGGAAGCAGTTCATACCTGCATCTCTCAGCTCCCACAGCCATGTTGTCACACCAGGTCAATCTGAAATACCTCTTACTTTGCATGAAGCCCCTGCTAGAGACTTGAAAGATCTTCTCTAGCAGCAATTTAGTGAAGAAGCTGCATTTTCCAGCCTCTGAACTCAACAGGAACCATAGCACTTTGTTATTAAAAGTCATATGTAACCAAGGGTTTCTTTGCAATGTTGCCGACACCCTACAGTTTTTGACGTTTCTGGGACATTTTCACAGAAAGGTAGGCATCTGATGTTACATCTGCTTCCTCTGCACCTGTCTGCGCATCCTTTGATATCTATAACTTCTGAAAATGAAGATTTCCTCCCCTCTCCTGACAGTGCAACAAATTCTGGTACAGCAGTTACTCCTCTGTGTGTCATGAGAAGTACTCACTCATGCTCAGTGATAAGTTACCCTTGGTACTCAGTGAAAAGTTACTCGTGGTACTTAGCGCAATGAACTTGGCAGATAAAGAAGAAAGAGAGTACTGAAAGCACTCTCAGGGGGAGGCAGCTTTGTCAGATCAGGGCTAGGTGGGTGCTAAAAATATTGGAATGGGCAGAACACACAGAGATGGGAAAATGCAGGTACCTCTAGACCAAAGAAAGGTATATGTTATAAATTTGACACATCAAATCCTCACCTAGCCCAGCATAGTGTGCTTGATAATGGAAAGGAAATATACAGTAAATTTTGAATCGCAGCAGCCATGTCCCACTTTTGCCTCAACTATTAAAGATGGATGAGTTAATTACCACCTAGTTATCCAGCAGAAAGACTCACAATATAAAATACTCTTGTGGAAAACAAAGTCGGCATGGTCACCTCCTGTTCTTAATGCAAGAGAATCAGAGAATTGTAAGCTAGACCATGTGGTCAATAATTGCCAAAGTGGAATAAAAATACAGCCAGAAAACATAACTATCTTCTTTGAAAGTTTCCATGAGAACCTCTCACACAAAACTGCAAAGAAAATATTTTCAGAGGTTTTCTGAGTGGGAGACAATTTTCTAAAAATACTGCAATTTTACAATATTTTTGCTCATGGAATAACAGAAATTTGGCAAAAAATGCTTTTTACAGATTTCACTCCTTACTTCTTCTCCATTTATTACATAAATATGGTCTTTCAAGTATGAAATAGGCATGCAGCACCATTACCTGGTGGCCAAATGCAGGGGTTACCAAGTTGAAGGCAGGCACAGACTCAGCATCCCTGAGCCAAATTTGAGTTGATTTTGATACCTGCATTACACTGCCACTCTTGCTGTTTCCCAGCCCTCAGACACTACATACCAAATAGCTGGGTAATAGATTAATATTTTCACCTCTTTGATTGCTGTGATAAGGGAGCTTAAGACTGGTGCAGATTTGATTGGAGCAGACACCCTAGACCTACCTTGGAGAGGAAAGAATTTGCCAGCTCAACTCCAGTGATGTCAGGGAGATTCAGCTCCTCACAGCAGCTAAAGAGCTGCTTGCTGAGAGCACATCAGTGTGCTGTAACAGCAGCTTTGTAACAGCAGCTGCACAGAGATCCAGAAAACAGCCTTCCACAGCCTGGGCAGAGCACTTTGAGCTGAGTTCATCTCAGTGGGAAGTTTTGCTTTGCGTATCTTCAGGTACACATGAAAGCACAGTTACCTGTTGTTTTGTAGGCTGAGCATGAAGAGAACTTTATATTGCCAACAGAAGGTGTGAGCATCATTCCCTTTGAAGTTTAAGTCAGAACTCTAGAGTAGGAGCAAAAGTATCAGGAGCATCATTAACAACTTTCCTGTTTCTTCAGCACACAGTTGAAAGGCTGCTGTCATGGCAAATTTAAAACATCTCCTTTGAAATTATTTTAGATACCTTCTTTGCACTTAACCTTACAGTTTTTCATCTTTTTTTTTTTTTTTCCAGCTCAAACTGTGTAGCATTCCCTTTAAAGTTCCTTATCATTATTTCCTAATATTTAATTTTTGTAACACTGATCTGGGCTTGGTTTTACAAAGTAAAATCCAAATGTGTGAGAACTATGAGAGTGAGATGACTGCATAGATAGGCAGACAGACACTGATATTTTCTATCCTTATAACATAAAAAATCAAAACCTCGTTAACTTGCCTTATTTAATTTATATTGCTTGTACCTCCTGGTCAAGGGAGTAGCCTTTTTTTCCTATTTGCTTTTAAGGTGATTTCACAGAGTAGTCTGATCATCAGAAATAGAACTATACCCTAGCAGGAGCCAGCTAAGTAAAATCTTAGGCCATTTCACACACAAAAAAGTAAAAATGTCGATAGTTTTAAAACACAATGGAACTGATCAAAATGAAGGATTCTGAGTGCAGATAAACTTTCTGGACTCAGGCTTATTTATGTATTAGTAGGAAATGAAGGCAGCCAAGAAGCAATCTGACTCTTCATTACAAGGAAAAGCTCCTGGTTTGAGGATTCTTAGGATAGCAAAAGACATGCTTTTGAAACCACCACATTGTCATCTCAAGTATGGGGGAGGGTGTGTGGGGAACAGGAGATATTTTTTGTAACCAGTGGTGCTTTTATTAAATACATGTTGTACATTCCAAATGGTTTCAATTACCTGTATGTCAGCAGTAATAAAACATTTCTTTAGCACTTAATACAAGAAGTTCTTTGTATTTTTTAATCAGAACTGATTTCTGGAAAATACTTCATGGATAGGCAAATGTAAAAAATTATGCATCTCCCTGTGAATTAGTCCAAGGATGGGTTGGAACAGAGATTTGCAAGAAAGTCCTGCTCTTCCATCCCTGCCTCTCAATGGCTCTGGCTTTTTTCCCATTTTCTTTGCAGTCTGTGAGCAGTGGGTGGTGCTGCAGGAGACAGGAGAGAGGTTAAAACTTGTTCCACCTTACTAATGCTGTGGCAGAGCCCATTTCAGCCAGATTTTTCAAGGAAAAATCTGGGCTGCCCTGCCTGCTGCTTTCAGTTGCACCTGCACAGAGGAGGGAGCTGCTCTCGGTCTCTCTCATACACACACATAAAACTTTCATGAATGGAGATGGGGAGCTCTTTGTTCTCATTACAAATCCCCTTCCCAACCTGTTTTTCAGTGACTAGCAAAATCCTCCTTCTTCTTCTAAGAAAGAAGCTTGCTTTCCTGCAGGAACAGCTTCCATCACAAGAGAATATTTGATTACACCTCCACCCTGGGCCTAACAAGAAAATAAAGCAATGACAAAGACTAAAAAGTACAAGGTCCTGCAGCAAGGGCATCTGTTGACCACAGAAATTAGGACTGAATGTCAGACATTTGCCACTTCAGCAGAGCTCTGCCAGAAAAATAAACCAAATAACCTGTATTTCATAGCAACAGTAATAAACATCATGGCAGAGAATTCTACTTCCAGCTCTGCAGAGGCAGACCTAAGTTCCCCAAAGCCATGGCAATGCATCCCCCAATACAGTTGGCTTTGAGTCTGCTCTGGAAGAAGCAGGAGAGAAAACAAAGCAGAAGTTGCCTTTGATGATCAGGATTGCAATACTTCTGCCTAGAGGAACCACTCCCATGTGTAGCAGAATAGGAAAACTAGCATAGAAAAATTAGGCACAGTGACATTAGAAGTCCATCACAAACTGACTCCTCTATCCCAGCTTCAGTCTAAGAAGCTGCTTCCCCATGGCTGTGTGGCCCCATGCAGGAGACCCCTCTCCTGGGCTCAGAATGGACTGTGAATGCAGGGGTCCAGTGTGGTTTTTAATGAGAAGTATAAAAGGGGTGGTTTTTAAATTTACTATAGCATTTTGTTTACCTAAATTCATAGTCCTGTAGGTTTCATGTTAGAAGAGATGAAGGAAAAAAACCTAAATGAGTAATGCAGCTTTTAATACAAGCATCTGGTCCTGCAGACATGCTGAGTGGGAGGAGGAGGATTTTTCCATTTTAAATAAAGCAATGATTATAAAAACATGACAGAAGTGTGTCTTCATATGGGAAAGCCTGTCACCTTTATTATTTCTGCTGGCAGCATTGACTAGATGTACTTTCTGAAACAAGCCTTTCATTCACAGACACAGCACTGAAGTATTTCTCTCATGAAATGCAAGTAGAAAGCCAGAGGTAGATGCAGATTGTACTGGGAGAGGCTGCTAAAATAATCACTCATTTCCATCTTTATTGTTTGTCACAGCAACACACCTTGGGTCAGGCCCTTCTTTTACAGAAGAAGGCTGTGATCTTTCAGAGCAAAGAAGATTACTTATTTTTATGGATAAGTACTTAACTAAAGCCTTCAATAGGCTATATTTTGTGCCTTTAAAAAATTATTCTTTTATTTAATGTTTTTTTGTATCCAGAGTTCCTTTCTGATATTTCATTATTGAAGATGTGTGAGGAAAACTCTTCACTTTTTTCACTTGGCTTCCCTTTCAATAAGAATGGCCAAAATCCTCACTCTTGTCTACTGGAAAGAAGAAAACTTTTCAAGTGAGGATAAACAACACAAAACCCAAACATACAAGACAAGGAAGAACCACATCAATTTGTCCCAGAAATGATTGCTGAGAAATTGCATGGATGGTGAAGAAGGCAGAGAAATTATAATATTCCCAAAAAGAAAACAGCTGGGGGAAAAGGAGAGGCATGATTCCACCCATGCCATAGTCCTACAAGATATCCAGGGTGCAGAGAACACAGTAATACTACCATAAAATCTGGAAATTGGTTTGCTCAGTTTGACCAATTAATTTGTGAAAACTTCACCCAATAGCAATAATTAGCTTATGGTAGTTCAGATCATCAGGCATCAGTGCAAAAGGGGGTCAGACTGGTCCTCTGCAGCTCCCTTCTTTTTGCCTATAGAGGTTTTGGGCACCTCAAAAGAGGCATTGCTATGTGCAGGTGTGGGACAGCCCACCCTGCAAAGCAGGTGCTGAGCCCTAGGACATCCTGTGCTGTGCCAGGGATGAGGAGGCTGCCAAGCTGCTCAGGGATGCAGGATGGCACCCACCTTTGCAGCACCCAGGGCTCCAAGCATGGGAAAGGCACAGCCTCTGCATCTCTGCAACACAAAACACAGAAGAGGGTTCCAAGCAGGGCCAGGGAGTGGTTTGCCCTTCTCACTGATGGCAGATCTAACTACAGAATGGCAGAAATAGTCTTCAGGCACGGATGGTCTCACATAGAGAAAATATAACTGGCCTGGTTCTGTCACTTCTGGGCAAGCATTCTGACCCAGTGGGATATTATACAAGATGGAAGAGATGGAGGCTTCTACTTTTCCTGTTATGTTTAGGGGAAAAGCAGCAGCCATAACCACAGTTTGCACAGAAACTGGTTGAATGGTGAATGTGAAAACAAGATGAGACCCACAAGTTTGAGACATCCCAGGAGGTACAGACTTGGGGAGTGAAGGTGAAGATCAGCAGAGGCTCAGGGTCAATATTTTGGGGCAGCCACCTTAATTCCACCTACACTTCTTGGGTGCCCATCTCTTATCAGGTTTGCTCCTGCCTGGCTCCACCTACATTCCCACACCTGTGGAGCAGAGGAAAGAGAATGCCAAAGACAATTCTGATGGCTGACACTAGCAGGGAGAGGGAGGGATAGGACTTACTGAACCATAATTAAAAAAAAAAAAAAAAAAAAGAAAAGAAAAAGAAAAAAGAAGATATTTAAATGTAAAGATTCTAAGAAATCACTGAAATGAGTAATCAGTTTTAAGGCCAGACTACTCACCAGACAAACACCAACTCACAAGCATAGAGACGGAGAGCCAGGCAGACAGAGCCTGTGCACTTCCAATGCAAAAAAACTTAACTCCCACCTTTCAGAGAAGGGTCTAGCAGCCAGTTGCAACAGTAACTGAGTTTTGTGGTGCCCCGAATCCCACTAGAGTATGAGGGCTGGTTTGTGCTGGTTATTGCCCAGCAGGTTTAATGGGAGACACAGCATGTCTCAGAATTCTGAGGATGCATGCAAGAGGTGAGCAGAAAAAAGCTCCTTTGGTGTGGCAGGAAGAAGGTAGAAAAGTAAGTTTAAAATCAAAATTTAAAACAAAACAGATGCTGGAGGTCCTGAAGGGTAATCCATAGGCTTTTCTTGAGGAAATGTGTTTTGAGGAGATTTTAAAAATAATTAATTATGATCTTGCATGCATCTTGGTGGGAGAAATCCCTAAGCAAAACTGCTTTGGTGAAGGTTAAGCTGCAAACTATGTTCGTTCAGAACCATGTTTTGAGAAACAAAAGGGAATTTTGGGTATCATTCTTTATCCTACTTGCCTTTTCTGCTGGTATCAGGCATATATTGAACACTCACTCTCCAACAGCAAAAAAAAATATCAACTGTCTCTTGGTGGATACTAAAACTCACTGATCACTTATAGAAACACAGGTATAATGTGGCTGTGAGGGAATGCAGGGAATGAGAAAAAAAACTCAGTTTTTACTTCTTTTAGGGTTATTTCTGCACCCATTAGGAATCATCTAGAATTACCAAAACTCACTCAGGTCACAGAGAAGGCATCATAAAATCACATTTTCTGTGTGTCATCATACTTTACTTTCAAGTTAGCCCTGTTTTGTTCACATTACGATTGGATAAAGTATAGTTATTTTAATGATAATACATAATATGCCTAATTCAGTAACACAGTATTCCTGTGCAGAATTTTACCTTTGTAATTTGTTCTGTCACCACCACTTCCATTACCCCTCCTGAGAATCATACACCTTTCTAAGAATCTGTATAAGAGCAAGAGGTCTGTGGATATTACCATGAGACAGAAAAAAGCAAATATGGAAAGACACTATAATGTCTCAATATGAGAAATGCTTCCTACAATTCCATATTCTTACAAGTCTCTGGTACTCAGATTCATAGAATTGATCACAGAGCCCAACCATTAACCCTTGCCAAACCCATCACTAAACCATATCCTTAAATACTAAATCTATAAGCCTTTTAAATACCGGGATGGTGACTCCACCACTCCCTGGGGCAGCATGTTTAATACTGAACAACCCTTTCAGTGAAGAATGCCATCGCAATTTCCAATCTAAACCTTTCCTGGCATATCCTAGGGCCATTTCCCCTTATCACTTGTTACCTGGGAGAAGAGTCTGACCCCCACGTGTCTATCACTTCCTTTCAGGCAGCTTCGAGCCTCCTTTTCTCCAGGCTAAACAACCCCAGGTCTCTCAGCTGCTCCTCAAAGGACTTGTGCTCCAAACCTTTCCTCAGCTCTGCTGCTCTTCTCTGGACTTGCTCCAGCCCCTCAATGTCTTTCTTATAGTCACAGGCCCGGAACTGAGGCATTTGATAGCGGGGAAAAAAAGAAAAGCTATATGTTTATCTTTATCTTAGGATCTTAACTTAATTGATAAACAAAAGGCGTGTTGTTTTGTTGGTTTTTTTAATCCATCTGCACGCAGGAGTGAACAAACTCTAGTACAAAGTACTTTCCTTTGAACAAAGAACACAGAAGTAGCAGCATCCAGAAGGCTTTACCACAAATCCAGGTTGTACAGCTGTCAGCATTGGTGCTTGACAGCAGTCAACAGTGGATGGGAACTGACTATACCCATCAGTTTATTAACCTGCTGTAAAACTTTCATACCTTCTCTCTCTGTGAGTTCTCATAGGCAGCTTCCCACAACACTGATTCCTTTTCTCTTCCTTCTGCACGGCCAGCTGATTTCTTCCTGTCCCTAGCAGTCATGGTAACCTTACCACCCCTTACTCCTCGCAGCACAACCAACTGACTCCAACTCTCCTCTCAACCATTAATCCACTCTTTATAACACCCATCCTTATTGGACACAGCTGTGACCTCTTAAGGGGAAGGCTGTTCCTACTCTTTGGTAATTAACACAGCTGAAACTCCTCAGGGGTGAGATTGCTTTCAGCACTGTCTCTATTCTTTTACAATCCATCCTCCCACATACAGCCATGCAATCTTAGTCCTCCTGGAATTAATAAGGAGTACTAACTCATTGCAGTCAGTCTTGAGTGGAATATGGATTTTCAGTGTATTCACTTCCCTGAGCATTCCTGCACTTTACCCACTAAAGATGTCCTTACACTTTCAGCCCAAAGTGTGACCCACAGTCTTCTGTTAACAGTTGTCTAATATAACTGTTCACACATTATTTTCAGCTGCAGAAACAGGTACTTCTTCATGCTGAACTGTCAAGGAATAAATTCAGAGTTAACTTAAAATATAGGAATGACTTGGAAAGGTTCTCTCCTAATGCAATATCTCCTTGTTAAATTAAAAACAAATAGGATTATTAATGTGCAGAAATTGCATGGCATTGTCTTCCCAGTAAACACTTTATTCCAAAATAAATCACAATATTTTGAAATATTCAGCCTATCCTAAAATACTTCCTGGAAAAAAAATCCTAGAATGAAAGCATTACATTCTGGAATGCAGGATGAGTAATTTGGGGTTAATCCTGTCAATATTAATGTGGCTGCATCAGAAGTATCATTTTGGAAGGGCAAAAAAGTCTTCTCTCAGAAATTATATCTACAGGTTGCTACTGTATACATATGAGATAGTTTTGAGCTGGAACATCCTCAGATAAACTAGGAAGCTGGGCAAACATTATTTTGAACTCATTAATCCCAGTCTATTTCTTGTGGGCTCCCACATCACAATCATCAGTAAGGCAACAAGGGCATCACACCCACTTTTGTTCAGATTTAAGGGACCAGTTTCAGAAGACTGAAATTTAATGTAATAGAGATAAAGACCTCAGAGGATTACAAGAGCTAACTACCTGGAAACAAAAAAAAAAAAAACCCCAAAAAATGCGGTCTTAAGGTTTGTTTAAATTGACTTTAACGACTTTTCCTTTCAAACCAATAAGGCTGAAGCAGCAGTTGCTAATTAGCATGTCAGTGTCTTAGCTGATTGTCTTGCCCTGGGAGCACAGTGCAAAAATGCCTGTGATTTTTCTTGTGCCAGGAGAACGAGTTTACAGTCTAATTAGGGCACTGAACAGCAATTGTGATGAAGAGTCCAACATAGCCTGCTTGTTTTATAAATATCATGGGTGGGTTTCTAAAATTCTCCCTATTAGTGCTTTTCTTTTGGAAAATAGTTCCACCAAAAGGAGACAAACACAGAAAGAACTGGGAAGTGTCAATATCTGAGCAATATATGGTTTGGGAACAAGCCTCTTCTCTATGTATTATTTAATGAATGAATACATTAGCTTTCCTCTTCAGAGAAAAAAATTTAAAAAGGATTTCATCCCACTTAATCAATATTAGTCAATAGTAGTCTTCCTTGGTGAAGCTAGAAGGCAGTAAACATTCACACACCTCCCACTATAATTTTATCTCCATACAGATAAAATAAATTATCTCTAATGATCAGCTTTCCTCCCCCATTTGAACACCATGGTCTACCTTTGGCAGAAATGAGCTAATTCAAGCAACTAAATTGCTATCAGCAAAATAAAATTATGATCTCAACAGCTGAGGACAGTGTCTAGGTGTTTGCAGGATGACCTCTCTGGTACATGCCCTCTGAGATTTGAAGGGCCACATATTTTTATGGAGTTTGCTTGGTCAGGTTTTGGTACTGGGAGTGATGGCATCTGCCAGGTTGTTTGACACTTCTCCCATGTCCAGTGGATCCAGTGCCAGCTGGGTCCAAGACAGAGCCACAGCTGGCCAAGGCCGAGCCCAGTATCAACAGTGATATCACCTCTGGGCCAACAAATTAAAGAGGGAAAGTTACACTGCATCAGCAACTGCAGACAGAGAGAGGAGTGAGAGCACGTGAGAGCACCAGCCCTGCAGACACCAAGGTCAGTGAGGGAGAAGGGGAGGAGGTGCTCCATGTGCTGGTCCAGTGATTCCCCTGCAGCCCACGGTGCAGATGCTGGTGAAACATCTGTGTCCCTGCTGCCCCTGAAAGCCCATGGTGGAGCAGAGATCCATTTGCAGTGCATGGAGAGCCCCCTAACAGAGCAGGTGGATGCCTGAAGGAAGCTGTGACTCCATGGGAAACCCACACTGAAGCAGGATTCTGGCAGGACCTGTGCAGACAGGAGACCACACTGGAGCAGGTTTTGTTGGCAGGACGTGTCAGCCCATGGGTGACCTGCACTGGAGCAGTCTGTTCCTGGCGGACTGCACCCTGTGGCAGGGACTCATGCTGGAAGAAGAAATGCAGCCCATGGGAAACACCTACATTGGAGGAGTCTGTAGAGGACCCTCTCCCATGGGAGGTAGAAGCAGCTAGAGAAATATGGGAGTGAAGTTAGTCCAGGAAGAAGGGAGCGGTGAGAGGGAAGTATTTTAAGAATCAGTTTTACTTCTCATTATCCTACACTGATTTAATTGGTAGCAAGTTTAATTAATTTCCCCAAGCTGAGACTGTTTTGCCCACGACAGTAAGTGGTGAGTGATATCTCCCTGTTCTTGTCTCAGTCCATGAGATTTTCACTGTATTTTCTTTCCATTCTGCAGCTGAAGAGGGAAATGATAGAGCAGCTTTGGTGGGCACCTGTTTTCCATGACGATCAACCTACCAATAAAGTTATTTAAGAAATTTTATTTCAACAAATACCATTTTTTTCCTGTAATAACAGCAGAGCCCT